CCCCAAAACCCCAAAACCCCAAAACCCCGTGGGGTCTAAATACTATCAATCAGATTTTAAAGTAAATTAAAGGGAAGAGATAAAATCAGTATTAATATTGCTTCAAATAAGAACATCTTCAATGTATTTGGCAATAGCTAAAAGTTTCTTGTCATCACCAGTAAGGGATTAAATTTCAAGTCCGACTGGTAGATTGCCTTTTACAGTTTGAATAGGCAAAGTTACACAAGGTCCATTAACGATAGATCCTAGTACTGAATTTTGAAACGTAATATCAAGCTAATTCATTCTGCTACCATTGTGACTAACTGAATGATCTTAGGGATTGTAATCATCAAATCTAAAGGGTAGACATTTGACTGAAGGATAAATTATAGCATCTAATCTATTTCTCTTGAAATAACTATGAACTTCTTTTAAAACAGCCTATCTACTTCCATTGATTAAACGAACTAATTCTGAATGTGGTTTAGGGTTTTTAATAGCAAAGTCAATAAAAAGATCTTTTACATCTAAGGATTCAATATTGTCACCTATATCTTACAGAGTTATATTCAGATTATTCTATTCAATATATTACTTTATGATGTTTGGCATTTCAAGATTGATAATTTTGAGAAGTGTTGAGGTTAGGAATACTGTAGGGAAATTGACCTAATCATCTGTTTGAACGAATTCAATGCCATCTTTTGCTTTCAGTTTATCAATAGCCTGATCCACTCTAGTTTTAACTTCTGGATCAAGGTTATCAAAATTTTCTGGATTTGCTATTCCAATTCTTAGGGATTAAGAATTTTGAATCTATTCATGCTCTTATCCAGTTACTAATTAGTCTACTAAGAGAATATCATCCATGCAAGTAGCTATAGGGCCAATAGTGTCTAATGTATTAGTCATCTTAATTCCGTAGTTAGGAAACCATCTGCCGATAGTAGGTCTGTATCCAACAACTCCATTCCATGTAGCTGGTATTCTGATTGAACCTCCAGTGTCTGTTCCCAACGATATAGGTAATACTCCAGATCCAACAACTGCTCCACTTCCGCCACTTGAACCCCCAACTGATCTCTCTGAATCATAGGGATTTCTTACTTTTCCAAAGTGAGCATTCAAAGTGCTTACACCATAAGCTAACTCATGCATAATCAAGCCTCCACCATTAATTGCTCCATGAATTTTAAGTTTAGACCAGAGATTGCAATCATACTTTGCTATGTTAGATTTAAAAGCCTTGCTTCCTCCATAGCACGGATATCCAGCTGCGCTGATATTGTCTTTCAGACCAATTATTATTCCCTCTAAAGGCCTTTATTCACCATTACGATACAGTTTTGTCACTTCAGCTACAGATTTCTTGATCTGATCTTTTGTTTGATAGCTGAAAATATTAAGATGCTCTGAAAGTTTCATTCTCTCAAGAGTCTCATCAACAAACTCGGAATACTTGGAAGGATTTTCTTTGAAGCTCTAAACTAGCTTCTTGACTGAATGTCTTTAGAATAAGCACTAAGAACTCATAAGATTCAAAGATTTAACTAATTAATTTATTATCTGTGATAGATTCAATTTGTCTAATGAGTTTTTAAAGGTTTCGTTTTTTGCTTGATTCATGGGGTTTTGGGGTTTTGGGG